AAAGAGGAAGGGAAGCAGGCTCCCTGCCGAGCAGAGAGCCTGATGCAGGGCTCAATCCCAGGACCCCGGGATCGTGACCTGAGCCGAAGGCAGAGGCCTTAACCCACTGAGCCACCCAGGCTCCCCGCAAAGGCCAATTTCAAAGAAATTACTGCCTATGTATTCTTCTAGGAGTTTAATGGTTTCAGATATCATATTTAGGTCTTTAAGATTTTAATGTTTTTTTTTTAAAGTAGGCTCCACGTCCAGCATGGAGCCCAAGTCAGGGCTTGAACTCACAGCCCTGCCTGAGATCAAAAGTTGGATACTTAACCAACAGGGGCACCCACATGCCCCAAGATTTTTAATTTTTAAAGCATTTATAGTAGTTCCATTATTATCTTACTCAAGCCTTTCTTGGGACTTTTCTGGCCTTGTACTTCTTTCTCCCAGTTAGTTTTTATCAATAGTTTTGTGTGTCCTGTCGTTTTCTCACAGAGAAAAATAGTCTTTAGGATCTCAGCCATTTAGAATACTTGTGGCAACCCTGCATTATTGTCAAGAAAATTAAAATAGTAGGTTAAGAGTGGATGAAGTATAAAATCTCCTTGATCTGTATCAAGAGTGAGCACCCCTTGTCAACACACGCAGATTTACAGCGATATCTGACAGTCTTTGCTTTGTGAGCAAAATTTGTCTTACAGGAAATCCTAAGATTGGCAGACTAGGGAGAAATATACTGGAGGCAGAGTAAAAAGATGCCTTTAAGCATGTAAATTTAATTTCAAAAATTCCTCCTGTAGCACCTCAAAGTTGCTTCCGTTTATCCTGGTTTTCAGAAGTTTGCCTCTCCATACCCTTGTGACAACAACAGGGCCACTGGTGACGTGGCTTAACTTCTTAGCCAGTTTTTTTGGCTTCCAGATGGCGGCTTTCAGGAAGGTTTCCACAGCAACCAGAGGCTGGAAAAACCTGCCCGCGCAGCTTAGCGATATCATATCCGGCTCCTGCTGGGACCTTGGAGACTCCGAGCAGCCGGTGGCGGGTGTGGCGGATCTATATTGTTGCAGAGATTCTAACACAGACCTAGAACCCGACCATCCCTTGCTCCTCACCTCATAGCAAGACCAGTGTCATTCCCACCAGCGACACAGGCAAGCCTCCTGTTTGCAGCCTTCTCTGCACAGCAGCCAGAGAGCTTTTAAAACCCAAGTCATATTCAGGTTCAGCTCTGCTCAGAACCCTGCTGTGATGCCCGCCTCACTGAGAATAAGATCCAAAGTCTGCACGCAGTGGTCCGGTCCTTCATGACTCCTGCTGCGTCTCCCACCCCAGTTTGCTCTCGCTTTCCTCATTCCCAGTCCACTGGCCAGCTTGCTGCTGTTCCAGCCTTCCAAGTATGTTTCTGCCTCCAAGGCTTTGTGCTTGCTGGTCCTGCTACCTGGATCCCTTTTCCCTCCGATGGCCACATGACTTGGTCCCTCCCTCCCTTCTGTTTTGGACTTTGCTCATATGCCACCTTACCCTCAGAGGCTTTTCCTGACTATTTTATTATACATAACCCCGCTCTTCTCTACTCTCTAGTTTTACCCTCTTTATTTTTCTTATGGTACTGTAGTTATCATGATCTGACTTAGCTATTTTTATGCTTATTGTCTGATTCTCTAATGGAATGCCTGGGGCTTCTGATTTTCACCATTGCATCTCAGCCCTTAGAACCATGCCTGGATTGTGGTGGCACTCAGGACGTTTGCTGAGTGAATGAGTGGGAGGCAAGCCAAGCTGAGAATTGTCTTCATGTTCCCCTCAGTTCTCCACAACCAGAGATAGCTCATTTCCTCCACTGTCAGCAACGCCTGCCTCCTTCACAGTTTCTGTGTCCCTCCAGAAGAAACCTCCTCTGTGGCGTCAATGAGGAGGACGCTGGTGATGGTCTAGCTGGTGGCTGTGTGACATCTGTTCGCCAGGCAGGATGGAGAGGTGGCATGGTTTTGTAGGAGGGTACATGGTTGGAGTTTATTTGGAAAACTGTATGTGGGTCTCTTCTCTTATTTTCTTCTGTATAATGAATGTAGAGGTACCTACTTCAAAATGTGTTATAAGGATTGAATGATGATGGGATTTTAAAACTTCTAGTTTATTCCCTTTAATGTAAAAATAGGAATTGCTCCATCCAGCATGAAATTCTCATTCAAACCTGGCCCTACATATCTGTTAAACTGAAGGAAAACATTCTTTTTATTAAGATTTATTTATTAGAGAGTGCATGCACACATGCAGGTGGCGGTGAGGGGCAGAGGGCGTGAATCCTCAAGCAGACTCCCCAGTGAGCATGGAGCCCCACGCAGGGCTCAGTCCCATGACCCTGACATCATGACCTGAGCTGAAATCAAGAGTCGGACACTTAACTACTGAGCCACCCGGGTACCAGGAAGACATTCTGTTTTCATTATTATCCTTATGCAGAATAGACAAGCTTAGGATGGCCAACCTGTTAGGGAAGTGGATTCTGCCATCTGGCTCTCAGTGGTTCTTGTCTGGAAGCAGGACAGAGCAGCTCTCCTGTTTGGGCAGCAAGGCCTCCCTGATGAGCAGTTAGTCCAAATGTGGCATGGTTGGGTTGTGTCTGAGGCAGGAGGAGAGGTTGGTCACGAGCTGAGCTGCACCCTTATGAGCTACAAGATGACTGTCTTGCCCCCAGATTTGCAAATGTGTCTTTAAAGAGAACAGGGATTTTGTCACGTGCCCACTATGAACATATATGCTCAAGTTAAGGGTCCATAGGGTGATGTTTTCCCAAAGCTCCCTTTGATTTTTCTTTTTTGCTTCTTTGTCAGTCATCTGATATTTATGGTCTACCAGAATTCTGTGGCAGAGGGTGTGGAGAGGTGAGGCACTACTATGGGCCAGAGCAGCAGCAGCCTCCTGAAAATTGGAAGGGGAAGACATTTCTTTAGGTCTGGACCGGGAGGAACATAATTTCAAACCTGGAAGGCAGCTTGTCCCAAAATATTTCAGCTACCTCTCGTTTCTTTCATGGAGTCCAAGCCTTTTATTCCCTACTTGGGAATAAAAGCCTTAATATTCAGAAAAGGCTGAGGAAACTACTCCAGAAACTACATTTCTGTTGAAGCTCAGGTAATAATAGATTCTTTCTAGATCTACTAGGAGCAGGTTAAAAATGAGAAGTTAGAGAGAGAGAGGACACCACAAATTGATGTTTTTTTCTTTTTTAAAATTGAGATATAGGGGCACCTGGGTGGCTCAGTGGGTTAAGCCGCTGCCTTCGGCTCAGGTCATGATCTCAGGGTCCTGGCATCAAGCCCCGCATCGGGCTCCCTGCTCAGCAGGGAGCCTGCTTCCTCCTCTCTCTGCCTGCCTCTCTGCCTGCTTGTGATCTCTGTCAAATAAATAAATAAAATCTTAAAAAAAAATTGAGATATAATTTACATGCTATAAAATTCACCATTTTTATTTAAAGTGTGCAATTCAGTGGTTCTCGTATTTCATACTGTTATGCAACTATCACCAGCATCCCATTCTAGAACATTTTTCATCTAAACTCTGTTAGTGGTCATTCTGTCTCCCCCAACCCTTGGTAGCCACTGGCCTACTTTCTACCATTGGATTTGCCTCTTTTGGACATTTCACTTAAATAGAATCATAGAGTCTTCACCCTCTCGTGAGTGGCCTTTTACACTGGGCGTAATGTTCTCAGGGTTCATTGGCAGAGCCGCACGTGTCAGTACTTCGCTCCTTTTTTCTTTTTTAAAGATTTTATTTATTTATTTGACAGAGACACAGCGAAAGAGGGAAAACAAGCAGGGGGAGTGGGAGAGGAGAAGCAGGCTTCCCTCTGAGCCCGGAGCCCAATGTAGGGCTTGATCCCAGGACTCTGAGCCAAAGGCAGATACTTAACAGCCACCCAGGTGCCCCCGGTACTTTGGTCCTTTTTATGGCTAAATAATTTTCCACTGTATGTATGGTTCAGACATTTTGTATATCCATTCATCAGTTGGCTTGTTTCTCCTTTTTGATTATGATGAATAATGCAGCTGTGAACATCCATGTCCAAGTTTCTGGGTGGTTGGACATGCTTTTATTTCTCTTGGGTGAGTGACTACAGGAGTGCAAGTACTGGGGCATGTGGGATCTCCGTGTTTACCTTTTTGACAAACAGCCAGACTGTTCTCAGCAGCAGCTTCTTCATTTTCCATTTCACACAGCAGCTGCAGTGTAAGTGTTCTGCTCTCTCCATGTCCTCGTCCACACTTACAGTCTTTCTGGTCACAGTCTTCCTAGCGGGTGTGAAATGGCACCTCACTGAGGTTTCCGTTTGCATTTCCCTGGTGAATGATCTTTTTACCTGCTCATTGGCCATTTACATCTCTTTGGAGAAATGTGTATGTGGAACTTTCGCCCATTTTGTTTTTTTATTGTCGAGTCCTCATTTTTTTGAGAGGACAAAAAAGGGACAGAGGCAGGAATTTCAGTGGTAATAGGAGAGATCTGGATTAGATCGCAGCCTCCTGGTTTCCCAGCTATAAGGTTAGCGGAGAATGTGGTAGAGCGAATGGTTTGGTGACGGGGAAAATGTCAGTGCTGGGCTGAAGTCGAGGTACTGACTCAGAAGCTAAGTTGTATTCTGCTAAATGGTTCCTCAAAGATTCTAGTTCGGAAAACCTATTCATGGAGGTTTGGCTGTTTTGCCTTTGCTTTTGAAAAAGCATTTGCCTGAGCCTAGGGCATCAGAAAGCCTGTGTGTATAATTCTTTCCTTTAATAATGAACGGAGCAGGCACTCCTCTTGGCTCACGGAGCTGGTAACGTCGGTTTTGTAGCTTCTTCAGAATGTTTCGTGTATCCTGTCCTAGACGAAATGTTCAGAATAGGAGGCGTTTATTTCAAGTGTCATTTTTCCTTCTCACTGCCCCTTGGCCAGCAAAATCAGAGTAGTGGGTGGAAAGGACTTCCAGGAGAGGGGCTGCATTATAATGACTTTCCCCTCTGCTCTCCTACCAGGGCAGATGTTTCTGGACCAGATGAAGCCCGAGGAACCTTCCAGCTGTAGAATAATAGGCCAGGAAGCCTTCTGAGTGTGGATTTGCAGAAGACTTGCCCCACCTCTCCACACAATGTCAGGTGGGAGGCAGGCCCTGGGCTGGAAATGGGTGAGAGGCTGTCCAGAAAGAGGGGAGGGTCTCACCCTGGAGGGCCCATCCAGTGGAATGGAAGCAGGATAGACCTTTGAGGATGAGAGTGTAAGAAAGGAGGAGGTCCTCCTACCAGGCATCAGGGTTACCACAACTTTTCATGGCTCAGATCTCCAGGTTCTCAGAATCTCTCCCTCCAGCCTACAGATCCTCACACTTGGGTGGGAGAAGCAAGGAGATGAAATTTGGTTATGTTTTGTAACATGCTTCTTTTTTTCTTTTCCAGAAAGTTGCTTATTTTTAGGTCTCTTCCCCTCCCCCATCCATCCCACTTTCAATGGTGCAGTCCCTTTTCTGCTGAGGCCCTTGTTAGGGGTTAGTGGAGGATGTCCCACCTTGAATTTTCCCCCTGAATGCCCTGCATTTGCTCAATTTCCTATTCCTGATCCTCCTTGATTTTAGGAAACCACATACCTTCTGCCAGTGGCCCCTTCTCAGCCCTGACTCCGAGCATGTGGCCCCAGGAGATCTTGGCCAAGTACACGCAGGTAAAGCTCTGTGCCCAGGCTGTGGCGCCAAAGGGAACCCAGCCAAAGGGAACCCACTGCTTTAGGCTTCCTGGGGGGTTAGGGGGTAGCCACCCCACCGTGTTCACTTGGGCTCAGAAGCGACCATCAGAGATGGCATCTTAGCTCTATGTCCTCTGGGAATTAGTCATTAGGTTGGAGGAAAAGTATTAAGCACTGTGTGCTCAGTATATTATCGAGACACAGAAATGCATAAAATCTCTTTCTTACCTTGATCTTATTATCTTTGACCTCTGAGGAGAGCAAGGAAAATGCTGGGCCAGTCCGAGGAGGTGGTGGCCCCTGCAGCTGAGTGATGACCACAGAGGCTTCAAGGAAGGGGTAGCCTTTGATCCGAGTCTTGAAGGCTGTTGGGATTTCTGCAGGCAGCAGTGTGGGGGCACCTTCCAGAATCTGTGGTCCCGGACTGGTGGCCACACAACTGACTCTTCCTAATCCTGGTTCTAGAAGGAAGAGTCAGTGGAACAGCCAGAGTTCTGCTACGATGAGTTCGGTTTCCGCGTGGACAAGGAAGGTAAGATGGAGCCCCTGGTGTGTAATCCTGCTGTTCTCCGTGGGGAGGACTCTGGTGACTCTGCCTTGTGCCGCTGCGACCTGGGCTCTGGGGGTCTCATCTGCTCCTGAACTGACCTAACAGTATCCCCCTCAGAGCAGTTCTAAAATGTATGGAGACCTCCAAATTTAGGTAAATTTTATTGATCTTCATAGGATAATAATAGCAAGAGTTTTATTGTAGTGAAGTTGAAAAATACAGAAAAGAGTAAAGATTAAAACAAATTAACCCATTATCCCATAACCTAAAGATAACTGCAGACATTTCACTTTGTTCCTTTCTTGGCTCTGTGCGTGTGCGCGTGGGTGCGTGTGTATTTCTCATAACTAACATGTTATCTACACGTTTTTATACAGCTCTTCTGTCTCTTAACGTTATTTACCATGAGACTTTCTTCTGTCACTTAAGACCTCTTTAAAAGCATAGTTTTCAGTGGCTGCATAATATGCCATTATAATGCATTGATCATAATGTTTTGTAGCCACTCTTCTCTGAGTGGGCCTCCAGGCCATTTCCATTGTTTTCTACTCTAAATACACCTGCTGGTTTCCACACGGGCTGTCGGGAAGGCTGCCTGCCAGAACCCGGGACAGCCCGTCACCGGGATACAACTATGACTAGAAGATTTCAATGGGCTGAAACTGGTCCTCTTCAGGTCATGCATATTCCAATTCTTTTATTTATTTTTTATTTATTTATTTTTTTAAGATTTTATTTATTTATTTGACAGGGAGAGATCACAAGTAGATGGAGAGGCAGGCAGAGAGAGAGAGAGAGAGAGAGAGAGAGGGAGGGAGAGGGAAGCAGGCTCCTGGACCTGAGATCATGACCTGAGCTGAAGGCAGCGGCTTAACCCACTGAGCCACCCAGGCGCCCCGCATATTCCAATTCTGACAGAAGTTTTCCTTACTCTTTGGTTTGCAGGCGGGTACTTGGAAGTTAAAAAGCTGGGCCTGTGAGAAACACAGGGAACTCTGGCATAATGGAAATATTCTCTATCTTGATGGGGACGACATGTAGACATTTATTTACTGATACTCACCAGAGCGTACAGTTAAAATTTGTGCATTTTACTGTATGTAAATTCACTGAAGGTGAAGTTTGGCGAAGTTGAGGCTGAGGGCGTGGCTTTCCGACGAGTGAGGACCTGGGAGGCTAATGCGCTCTGAGGCCGCCTGGTGGGCGCAGGAGCTCTGGGCTGCGTTCGTGCCAGCACTTCGGGGACTGCCTGCGGGTTGTCCGCTCTGCCCTGCTGCATCCCCCGTGCCTTGAACAAACCTTAAAGTGGTCTTGGTCTTCTGGAATTCCCGGGCAGTGAACAAATACATGCCGGCAGCAAGAAGGGCCATGACGAAACTGGGAGCTGTGCAGAAGAGGGGGGGTGGGTTGTGTGCGAGGGGATAGAAGGGAAGGCCTCTCCCGGGAGACATCTGGACGGAGACTAGGACGAAGCAAGGCAGTGAGCACAGCTGGGGGAGGGGAATAACCCATGCCCAGGCCCTGGGGTGGGAGTGGGTTTGGCGAGGCACAGCTGGAGCCCGGGCAGCAAGGGGAGAGCGGGTGGCGGATGGAGGGGCCCGGCTGAGAGCAGGCAGTGGTGGATCATGCGGCCTCTCATCCGTGAGCCGAGCGGCGCCCGACTGTGTCTGAGCGGGAGCGCTTCCTGCTGGCTCAACGCCTTCGGGGAGGCAGGGGTGCAAACGAGGGTGAGAAGGCTGGACGGTGACCCCGGTGGAAGCTGATGGCTTAGTCAGGGGCTGTAGTGGGAGGCGGTAAGAGCAGTGAGAACCTGCCAGCAGGACTTTTCCTGGGGGCTGAATGTGGGGAAAGCGGAGGGGTTGGTGCTTCCCAGCTCGCAGCCCGAGCCGCTGGAGGTGGAGGTGGGTTTGCGGACCTGGGAGGGACTGCGCGGGCCAGGTTTGGGGCAGAAACTCAGGAGCTTGCGTTCACTCATTGGTCTGTCTGTGGGACGTGCAGCTGGAGCCCAGGGAAGCTGTCGGAAACGTGGCTCTGGATCTCAGTGGTGAGATCTGGGCACTGGACGCAAAGGCCACAGACCTCCCCTGCTCACCCCTGCGTCTCCCGGCTCTTTCCTGGCAGATGGCGCCTCCCCCGGTCCCAGCAAGCTGCCCGGTGCGGCCCTGTTGGAGGACCCCCCGCAGAGGCTGCGGTGGCAGGCGCACCTGGAGTTCACCCACAACCACGACGTGGGGGATCTCACCTGGGACAAGATCGCCGTGTCTCTGCCCCGCTCAGAGAAGCTTCGCTCCCTGGTGCTGGCCGGCATCCCACACAGCATGAGGCCACAGGTGAAGCTGTGAGGGACCCCCGAGGGCCCGCAGCAGGGGGTGGGGGCGCAGATGTGCCGTGGAAGCTCATGCCGGCTCCCGCTGCAGCTGTGGATGCGGCTCTCTGGGGCCCTGCAGAAGAAGCGGAGCTCCGAGCTGTCCTACCGAGAGATGGTGAAGAACAGCTCCAATGACGAGACCATCGCTGCCAAACAGGTGAGGCTGGGCCTGCACCAGCGGACCCTCGGAAAGAACTTTCTGGTCAGAAACTGTGTGGGCCTGCAGGAAGACGGTGAGCTGCCTGGGGTTATCAGAACCTGCCCTTGTCGGTCTCCTGCGGGGGGGTGGCCCGGGAGAGCAGGCAGCTGCTGCCCTCACAGGGCTCCCTTCCACTCGCATGTGTCTGGAACAGGCCTGCACTTCCTGGGTCCTCCGTAGGCAGCAGGGACAATTGTCAAAAAGACCAACCCTGGGTGCACATGAGGATCACCTGGAGATTTAAAATACCGATTTCCAGGCCTCATTCCAGAGATCATAAGTTCTGTAGCTCTGGTTTGAGGCCCAGGGAGCTGTAATTTTCTTTTCTTTTTTTTTTTTTTAAGGACTTTATTTATTTGACAGAGATCACAAGTAGGCAGAGAGGCAGGCAGAGAGAGAGGAGGAAGCAGGCTCCCCGCTGAGCAGAGAGCCCGATGTGGGGCTCGATCCCAGGACACTGGGATCATGACCTGAGCCGAAGACAGAGGCTTTAACCCACTGAGCCCCCCAGGTGCCCCAGAGCTGTAATTTTCTTTTCCTAAGTTATCCCTGGTGAATCTGGTGGCATCAGCTACACACTAGCCGGGCTCTAGTCCTGAAGACAGGTCAGCTCGGACCCAGAGTTTAGGAATCCTCATTCCTGGGTGAAAGGCCTGCCTGGGGTTTGTTCCTCACAGGGGCTCCCCAGCTTCCCTCACAGGGGTGCCTCAGGTGTCTCCAGTGTGGAGGGAGGTGTGGGCCTCCAGGCGTGCAGCTGCATCTCACAGGGGCTCTTTGTGGGTGGGCCGCTGGCAGATTGAGAAGGACCTGCTCCGCACCATGCCCAGCAACGCCTGCTTCGCCAACGTGAGCAGCATCGGGGTGCCCCGCCTGCGCAGGGTTCTCCGAGCCCTGGCCTGGCTCTACCCAGAGATCGGCTACTGCCAGGGCACAGGCATGGTGAGCACAGCCCAGAAGGGGCAAGGGGCAGGGGGTGTCCCCAGGGGTGTTCGCCAGGCCCCTGCAGGTGAACAGTGCCATCCAGGGCAGTAGGATGGGCGGGGGGTGGCTAGAGGCGGAAACCCCACGGCGGGCTGGGGCTGCCACATGCGTTGGTTCCACCCGAGAAGAGCACGTGTCTGTGATGACCTCTGGGGCGGGGGCGGGGGACCTCTTCTAATTCACATGGAGACCTGGGTACAAGCCCCTTGTCCTGCTCTGGCCAGGTGGCTGCCTGCCTCCTTCTGTTCCTGGAGGAGGAGGACGCTTTCTGGATGATGTGTGCCATCACTGAGGACCTGCTCCCTGCGTCCTACTTCAGCACCACTCTGCTGGGCGTCCAGACCGACCAGCGGGTCCTGCGCCATCTCATCGTGCAGTACCTGCCCCGCTTGGACAAGCTGCTCCAGGAACACGACATTGGTGAGGGGCCAGCGCCCACCCTCTTCTTTGAAGTCAGGGGTCCTGTGACTGTGGCTCAGACGCTGCAGATCTGAGGCCTCCGGACCCGGCCGGCAGGGGACCGGGTAGCTGGCTGTGTTGGGAGGAAGAAAGGAGCTCACTTGACAAGGGCCAGGCCCTGAACACAGCAGCACACGGAGGCTTTGTGGTGCTCTTGTTCTCTGATGTTCCCCGACAGCCTGTCGCCCCTCCTCTTGGAGCAGGCAAGGCCGCTTGCTGCTTTTTGGGAGCGACCCTCCCCTTTCTCCCCAGCTGTGGACCTGGGGAATGGCCCCCCCCCTTTCAGGCTGTCCCATGCTGGCTGTTCCTGGTTCCAGCCACAGAGGCTTTGGTCTGTGTCCACAGAACTGTCCCTGATCACGCTGCACTGGTTCCTCACGGCCTTCGCCAGCGTGGTGCACATCAGGGTGCTGCTGCGCCTCTGGGACCTGTTTTTCTACGAGGGCTCCCTGGTGCTGTTCCAGACCACGCTGGGCATGCTGCGGCTCAAGGTGCTGCCCGAGCCCTGTCCCGCCTGGGGCCCCTCCTCTGGGGGGCTGCCGTGGGGTTTCTCCTTCAGCATCATGTGGCCTGACCACTGGCCCCTCCTGGGAGGCCCACGGTGTGGTGGGGTCCCCTAGGGCCCAGAAGTCCTTGTGTCAGCTTGGTCATCCAGGAAGGTCACCGGGGCCGCTTGCAGGCCTGGCATCTGGCAGTGACGGCCCCTCCCCTACTCCTTCCCTTGTATGGCCCAGGAAGAGGAGCTGGTCCAGTCGGAGAACTCGGCCTCCATCTTCAACACACTGTCAGACATACCTTCACAGATTGAGGACGCGGAGCTGCTGCTGGGGGAGGCCATGCGGCTGGCCGGCTCCCTCACGGATGTGGCCGTGGAGACACAGCGTCGCAAGCACCTGGCTTACCTCATTGCAGACCAGGGCCAGCTCCTGGGGACCAATGCCACCACCAACCTCTCGCAGGTAGGCCCATGAGGGAGGGGTCCCCACCTCACCCACAGGGTGGGGGTCCCTGAGGAAGCCCTGAGAGAGGCTGCGGGGAACCCACCAGCCCTTCCTGCTCTGCTGCCCCCTCCCTAGCCCGGCCCCCGGGGGCCCGGCCAGACCACAGCTGTGCCAGGACCCGCCGCCTGGGCCTTCTGTGCATCTCTGCTGTGACCTGCCCTGCGTGGGCGTAGGACACACCTGGCTATGAACTGACCACGTTTCCGATGCTTGGAGCTGGCCGGGCCATTTCAGATGAGGTGGCATGCGACCCTGGCCCCGGGAGGAGCTCTGCTAGTTCCCTCCAGTGCTGGGGCGCCCGCCGCCCCACCCGGCTACCCACGACTGCTCGCACCCTGCAGGTTGTGCGTCGCAGGACCCAGCGGAGGAAGTCCGGCATCACCTCCCTGCTCTTCGGTGAGAACTGCTGCGGGAGCTGGTGCCAGGCTGGGTTCAGTGGCTCCTTCCCTCCCAGGGACCAGAGTGCTCCCCACCCCAGTGGGTGGGATGGGAGTGTAGACTGGGGAGACCCGTCCTCAGACCCCTGCATGGACCCTCAGCTTACTTGGGGCTGTAGGGGGAGGCTGGCGGGGGCCATGGCTGCCATAGTTCTCTGGGGCTTCCAGGGGAGGACGACCTGGAGTCGCTCAAGGCCAAGAACATCAAGCAGACGGAACTGGTAGCTGACCTCCGGGAAGCCATCCTGCGCGTCGCACGCCATTTCCAGTGCACAGACCCCAAAAACTGTAGTGTGGTGAGTTGTGGGCTCCACGTGGGGGCTCTGGCTCCCCAGCCTCATTCTGAGGTGCCAAGGCCCTGGCAAGGAGGCACCTCCCCCTTAGCAGGCCTTTCTGCCACTTGGGCAGGAGCTGAGCCCGGACTACAGCATGGAGAGCCACCAGCGGGACCACGAGAACTACGTGGCGTGCTCACGCGGCCACCGGCGCCGGGCCAAGGCCCTGCTGGACTTCAAGCGACACGATGACGATGAGCTGGGCTTCCGCAAGAATGACATCATCACGGTGTGTGGGGCGTGGGGAGCAGGAGCCCCTGGGCTGTCCCCCGCCCCCAGCTGAGGGTGCAGCTGTATGGCTGCGGGCCCAGGGCCTGGGCAACCAAAGCTTTGCTTCCTCCTCTTCTCCGCCGGCCGAACGTGCAGATCATCTCTCAAAAGGACGAGCACTGCTGGGTCGGGGAACTGAACGGCCTGAGAGGTGAGGCCTCCGTGTGCAGGAGGGGCGGGCTGGGCAGTGAAAGCGCGAGCCGGGCCGCCCTTTCTCGGCGGCGAGCCGGCCCTTAGGCCTTTACGCCGCGGGAGGTGTGGGGACGCCGGCCAGCCGCTTCTCACGGGGACTTGCTTCTGCCGCAGGCTGGTTTCCAGCCAAGTTTGTGGAAGTCCTGGATGAACGGAGTAAAGAGGTAAGAGGGTGCGCGGGCTTGGCTGCCCGTGGAAGCTGCTGCCGCCTGACCTTGGCACGCGCGGTCTTGTGACCGGGACTGCGGGGATGGGGAGGGGGTGGCTGGCGCCTCTCAGACCCTGTCCCCCACCGTCAGTACTCCATCGCGGGGGATGATGCTGTGACAGAAGGGGTCACGGACCTTGTACGGGGGACCCTCTGCCCGGCTCTCAAGGCCCTGTTTGAACATGGGCTGAAGAAGCCGTCCCTGCTCGGGGGCGCCTGTCACCCATGGCTGTTTATTGAGGAGGTAAGTCGACGGCCGGAGCCCCATCCCCCACCATCCTTTTCCTTGAGCCCCTGGGCCCTCTAGAGCTGGCGGGGGTGGCAGGATGCACTCAGTTGGACCTTGTGGCTTTGACCCAGCGCCTTCCCTGTTGTCCCTTACACTCACCTTGCCCCCAGGCAGCAGGCCGGGAGGTAGAGAGAGACTTTGACTCTGTGTACTCACGCCTGGTGCTGTGTAAGACGTACAGGTAACGGGCCCCGTCCCCTACCCCGCGGCCCCCTGGCGGTCCCCGTGCGGGGAGGGCACAGCCCGGGCCACGCATACTAGGGCAGCGCCGGCAGCTTCAATCCCTCCCTCAGGTTGGATGAAGATGGCAAAGTCCTGACCCCAGAGGAGCTGCTCTACCGGGTAATCGGGGTCGGGGTGGGACAGGCCGTCTGGGTTGGCAGCTGGAGCGCCCCGAGTGACAGCTGTGCTCTCTCAGGCTGTGCAGTCTGTGAACGTGACCCACGATGCCGCGCACGCACAAATGGACGTCAAGCTCCGGTCCCTTATCTGCGTGGGGCTCAAGTGAGTATCTCTGCCCACTGTGGGCCAGTGACGGTCCAGTCAGACGAGCGGTAGCCTGGGCTGTGGCTCGGGGGGGGCAGCGGGGTGCCCGTGAGCTGAGCCTCCTGGGCCCGGGACCTGGAAAGACAAGGCAGCAAGGGTGACTCCCAAAGGCCTTTCTCTAGTACTCGACCGGCCGTTGTTTTGTGGGCCGGGGAAGCCACGCACAGGTTTCGTGACGCACAGGTTTTAGCAAGGTGCCCGGAGAGGGGGGCGCCTGCCTGAAGGGAGCTTGGGCATTTGAGGCCCAGACCCGGATGAGTGCTTTCTGCGTGTGGCACCCAGCGGAGGGAGGACGGCCTCCGGGAGACGAGCTCAGAACGTGGCTGGGGGCTTCACTCCTGGCCCGACCAGCAGGGCTGAGGTCCCTGTGTGCAGCAGGTGGTGGCCGAGTGTCAGAGGAAAGAGCTGGGATGGGACTGAGGGGCACAGGGGCCGTGGGGACAGCGGGCCCGAGTGTCTTCCAGAGGACAGGAGCCGGAGCCACCCCCTCCGCAGAGACCTGGCTGAGAGGGAAGGCGCGGTCCGCTGCGGTGGTCCCGAAGGGGAGGGGAGGGCTGGGGGGGCGGGGCGGCCCACTCTTCCCCGCTGTCCCCAGCGAGCAGGTGTTGCACCTGTGGCTGGAGGTGCTGTGCTCCAGCCTGCCGACCGTGGAGAAGTGGTATCAGCCCTGGTCCTTCCTGCGCAGCCCCGGCTGGGTCCAGATCAAGTGCGAGCTCCGGTGAGTGCCCTGCCCCTGCTTCGGGAGCCCCTGCCCCTGCGCCGGGTGGGGCTGGTGGGGGCAGAGCTGACCTGAGCGCGACCGACAGCCTCCCCGCTCCCTTCCTGCAGCGTCCTCTGCTGCTTCGCCTTCAGCCTCTCCCAGGACTGGGAGCTTCCTGTGAAGAGAGAGGTGTGTGCGCTTGGGGTTGCCTCTTGGCCCTGCAGCCCGCCTGCCCCCCGTGGGGTCTGCCTGGGGGGGGGACCCCGGGTGCCGGCATCCTACGGTCCCCGAGCCCCTCTGGGCCCCGCCCCCTCGGGCCCCCGCACCCCCTGCTGCGCACGCAGAGGCTGTCCCTGTGCGCAGGAGGAGAAGCAGCCCCTGAAGGAGGGTGTTCAGGACATGCTGGTGAAGCACCACCTCTTCAGCTGGGACATAGACGGGTGACGCTGCTCCTCCTCCAGCGGCCTTGTCGAGCCCGGGCTTCCCCCACCCTGGTGGCTCCCGAGCAGCCCCTTCCTCAAGCAGAGAACAGCCCAGTCCTGGCCGGTCTTGGGCCTGCTTCGGGACGGGGTCCAAGGCGGCCCGGGCCCATTCCAGGCTGTGGGGGTGACGGGGAGGCGACCCCGGAGCTCTGGTCAGGCACCGTGGCACGGTGGGCGGGGACACCACCCGGGAGTGTCACTGGAGGACAGCGGGCGGCGGGAACAGAGGGTGCGGTTGAGCGGGCGTCTCCAGTGCCTGGGGGAGTGCTCTGCCCGGGTCTTTACAGAGACCCTGGGCCCCATTTGCAGAGTTTGTACCAACCAAAAACCGTGAGAGGAGGTGGACAGCCAGCTCGCTTTTGTCCGCTTTTGCTCAGGAAGGGGATGGGGTGGCCCAAGGCTCCTTGGTCTCTCTGGTTTGTCAATAAATTGTGTCCTTGGGAAAGCCTCTCCCGCCTTCTGTCCAGCTAGGGCCATAGAGCGGTGTGTCCAAGGTTCTGTCCTCCCTGGAATGGTCTAGAAAGCCTAGGACCCAGCCATACCACCCGCCTTTTCTGTGGATTGAACAAAAATGGACCCAAATCAGTGTTTTTTAATTTTATTTTAAAAAGTCCACACAGCTTCCCAACCTCTGTCCCAGCCCTGGTTTGGGGCTCCATCCCTAATCCCGTTAATGACAGTGACCGGCCAGAAGGGAGGCTGGGCCCTGGGGCAAGAGGAGGCCACAGCTTAAGGGCCGCCGCCCCTTCTATCCCAGGGCCACGGTGGCTGCAGTGAGGCAGCGGGACGGAATGTGGGTGGGTGGCCAGGAAGCACCTCTGCCCTCGTGGCACTAGTACGGAGCAGGACGCAGGTGGGGCACAGGCCGTGGCGGGGTGTCTGCATGTCAAACACGCGTGACGGGGCTGAGGTAAGCTGCGTCCAACGCGAGGAGCGGTGGTCTCCAGGCCCTTCTGTCTTGTGCACAGGACGGGAGGGAGCGCCAAGCCCCCTCCCAGCCCCCAGGAGAGACGGACATGTACGTATGGCGATAGGGGGTAGAGCGATATATACACCTGCAGAGAAACCGTCCGCCACCAGCCGCTAAGGGTTACACTACACCAAGACGCTAAAATGGCAAGGGGCTCCCCTCCCAGGAAGCCTGGGACCCTGGGGTTGGCATCATGGGGAACAGGGAGGTAGAGGCCCAGCTAGTTTCTTCCCTCACAGGGAAGAGGGGAGAGAAGGAAGGAGATACACCCCGGGCCTCGCGTGCCCGAGCACACGGCGGCCAGACTGCGCCTCCGGCCTCACAGGAGGTCGGCAGAATGGCCCTGACCTGTCCCGGCCGCCTGACTGCAGGCCGACACCGGAGCTGGTCCCGGGCGGCTTCTCTCCTTGGTGAGCCTGAGCCAGGCGGCGGCTCCACCTGCTCCAGCCTCCCAGGGAGGGGAAAGCAGCGCCTGTGATTGTCGGGACCGGGCGAGGGAGTGGGGCTCCCAGAGTTCCCGAGGCTCCTCAACTTCCAGCCCCTCCCGGCCCGGCTCTGCAGCCCGAGAGCTACAAGCAGGAATCCCAGTGGAGCTGCAAGTCGTGACCGTCGAGGAAGTCCGTGGAGAAGAGGCTGGGCGCGGTGGTGCTGAGCGGGGCCAGGCTGAGCACGGGGCCGCCCGACAGCTCCAGCCAGTCCATGCTGTCCAGGTGGCCGTCGGCCAGGTCCAGGCTCACACTGCTGGGCTCAGGGGCAAAGTGCAATTCCGAGGTGTCCATGGGTGAAGGGGGGTGGTCCAGGATGGCAGAGCTGCTCAGCATCTGGCTGTGGAGGTCGTCGATGAGGGAGAGGGGCTCTGGCCCCTCGTGCCCGCCGGTCAGCAGGGGCAGCCCCGTGCTGCTCTCCAGGAAGTCCTCCAGGCGCCCGGGGAGGGCAGGGGAGCCCGAGGGAGGAGGCGGCGCCACCTGGGGGAGCTCGGCAGAGGGCGGGGACGGTGTGGCCAGGGGCGACCCGCAGGATGAGGGGGGCTTCTCTTTTCCTGATAGGGAGGGTGGTGGCTCCTTGAAATCTGCTGAGATTTCTGGCAAACGAGAAAGTGAATGAATGTCAGGAACCAGGCCGGAACAGGACCCGGGGCTGGCCCTACTTCACATCACATACAAAAAGCGAACTCCAAATGGGTCAAAGATCTAAATTCAGAAGCTGAAACTATAAAACTCTTAGAGGAAAACGGGAAATCTTCATTGGATTTGGTAATGGTTTCTTGGTTACGACACCAAAACACCACAACAAAAACATTAATTGGACCATACAAAAATTTGTAAGTTTTATGCACCAAAGGATGCCATCAAGAGCAAAGACAACCCGTGGAGAGGGAGGAAATACCCGCACACCACGGATCTGATGGTTCACGTCCAGACTAAAGGGCTACAACTCAACAACAAAACCCAACAGGGGAAAAGGACGCCACCATTTCTCCAAAGATCTGCAAACCCCTAAGGCCAGAAGATGCTCGACCTCGTTAGTCATTAGGGAAATGCAAATCCAACCCACAAGGAGACACCACCTCACAACCAGTAGGGCGGCTTTTTTAGCCATGGGTAGTAATAGTTACTGATAATGGTATCGGTAATCGTGCCTGTGAGGATGTAGAGAGATGTGAGCCCCTGCGCACAGCTGGTGTGAACAACACGGCGCAGCCGCCGCGGACGTGCAGGGGCTCCCAGCAGCTGCGAGTGTGCAGTGTTCACAGCAGCGTTAGGTGCAACAGCCCAAGGGAAAGCCCGAGCGTCCCTCGTGGGGGAGCAGATCAGCACAAGGTGTTCTGTCCCTACAATGGGATCTCACGTGACCATAAAAAGGCAGGAAACTCTGACACCTGCCACAACTCGGATGAACCTTAAGCATGCCGTGCTCTGAAGCAAGCCAGCAACCAAAGGACACAACGGGATTCCACTGAGCGGGCGGATTCAGAGCAGGAAGTACGACAGGTTCCCTGGGGCTGGGGAGGGGAGGCGGGGAGCTCCTGCCTAACAGGACCCAAGTGTCAGTCCAGGATGATGGAAACGTTCCACTGACAGATGGTGGTGATGGCTGTACAACACTGCATGTATTTAATGCTACTGAATTCTGCATTTTAAAATTATTAAAATGGCAAATTTTCTGTGTATTTAACCACAATTTAAAAAAGTAACGCAGAAGCGAACCAGGCTTGCTCCCTCCCTCGCCCGCGCTAGGGCCTGTCCTGCCTCCCACTCTCCTCCCATCCCAGCCGGAGATGCCTGCCCATCTCACCAAGCCGATCTCACCACGCTCAGTCTCCCCAGATGCCCACGCCCACGCTAATGCCTTCTCAGGGCATTGGTGCCACCTCTCTGGCCAGTTCCGTGTTCCTTAGGGGGCGGGCAGCAGCCCCCAGCTCCCCTTCTCCGCTAGATCTTCAGGGCTGGCGCTCCGGGCCCGGCGTGCTCGCCTGCTCCCTCTCTGCTTCTGGCGTCACCTTTTTCCCCCAAGAAGCCTGAGCCCTCGCAGTTTGGGTTCCTGTCTGGACACCGGGAACTCCCCAAGTCTGCTCCCAGGCCTCTCTCCCCGGCTCGAGACTGGCCTTTGGGACTGCCCGCGAGCACCGCCCAGCCCAGCAGCCTCAGTGCCCACCTGCGCTTGTTAGAAATGGGCCTTAGGCCCCACTGCAGACTCTAGAATCCGCGGAGCCTCCGTAAGGTCAGAATCCGTGACCCTGGGAGTAACATCAACTCTTCAACTCTGTGGGATTTCTTTTTTGAGATAAAACTCACCATCTTACTTATTTAAAAATCTTTACAAAATAAATGATCCCTACACCCTACAAGGGGTTCAAACTCACAAACCTAACACCAAGAGTCGCATGTTCCACGGACGAGGCCAGCCAGGTGCCCATAAAATTCGCCATTCTGAAGCGTGCAGTCGCACGCCTGAGCTCTCGCTTAATCCGTACGGTCTTGCGAACCCTGTCCCTACCGCCAGCAGCGGGGCACTCAGAGAACTTGCACACGCGCTCTGCCTCGGCCGCTGCCACCTATGAACTCCCCCAGCTCCTACCTGATGCCGAGCCCCCCCACCTGCCCTGTGCCCTCCCTGCACTCAGGGACCCCCTCCGTCAGCGTGCGAACAGGCCGGCTCCTTGGTCCCTTTGCAGGAAAGCCCGTGCAGAGAGCTATCGAGGCTTGCTGGCTCCTACACCCCCAGGCCCTTACCCATGGTCTCACGGCAGCAGGCGGAGGTCTCTTCTCCCCTGGCTGCCCAGTGACAGCCCCGGACTTTAGGACTTCACGGTCTCGAGGGCACCCTCCCACTCTGCCCACTGTGGAGCGTCATCTGCTTGTGCCCCGGGACTATGCCTCATCCTCCCCAATCTCACCCAATCTCACGGCTCCAAATGTCACTCTAGATGCCAACAACTCCCCTGCTTGCCTTCATGTGACGCCCCTGCTTGGCGATCTCAGGACACATCAGCCCGAGGCTGCACGGGCGCACCCCCAGCGCGTGCCCCGGAGCACCCCGAGGCGGTCTTGCAGCCGCATCTGGGCAATTCAGGGAAGCCTTGGTGACCTCCACGGCCGCCCTCCTGCTGTCTCACCCCATCACACGCCTGGTCCAGAAGGAAACTGACGGGCTCTCTGAGGTACACCGAGGCTCAGGTCCTTCTCACCTCCTGCTACAGCTGGCCCAGGCCCCCTGGATCCCCAGAGCTGCCTCCTGGCTCCTCCCCTTCCGCCTGAACAATCCGCCACTCCAAGCCCTTCCGCCACACACCCACGAGGCCTCGTGATCCGCCCTGACCCGCGACGCCTCTCCCTCCTGTGCCCGTGCCACTCCTCCAGCATTCCTGGCCCCACAGGTGCCCCCCAGGGAGGTCGACGAGGTCAACCCAAATGCCCCCGCACACCTAAGACCCTCCCCTCTCCCTTCCCAGCTTTCTGCAGTTACCCCTCACACACGGTAGAAGCTACTTGTCTACCCCTCATTTCCTCACAAAACTGTGCAAACACCTGTTTTGCTCATCGCTAACCCCCAGGCTGTGGGCACGGGGCCCACCACGCAGGGGCTGCTGGGTAGAGCAATCCCTGCCGGAGGGCCGCGCCTGGGCCGCTGTTCTTGTCCAAGCCCTGGAGACGATGTAGGTCTCAGCTGCTGCTACGTCCAAAGGACAAGGCCCGCCGGCCCCTGACGCGTTCGGTGAGGGAACAGAAACCAGTAAATCGAGCAGCCAGGGCTGAATGCAGCCCACGGAGCAAGGAGGAGGCTGGCCGGGGAGTCGCGCAGGGAGTCTGGGCTTTACCTCCACTCTGAATAAGAATGTCAAACAGGTCGTCCATCTGCTGGCTGGAGGAACCGTTCTCCTGTAGAACAGAGGGCGAATAAAGATGAAAATCTAGAACAGGAGGCCCCCAGCCAGGCTCAGGGCAGAGCCCCTCACTTCCATCCTGGAGCTGAGAGCCGGACCCGCAGAGCCCACCGGCCGGGCTCGTAAGGGCTCCCAGAGCTCACTCGGTCGGGCCAGGCTCTGGCCCATCTGCCCGTAATGCCCCCTCCACCCGCCCGGCCTGGCAAGGCCTCCTCTGTCCCCGTTTTCCAGCTGGCTTGGTGGGGGGAGGGGGACTGGGGGAGCCCAGCCCAGCAGCCTAGGCGAATGCCCACCCTGGCCAGGCCTCAGTCTACCTTCTTCACCTGCTGTCTGGGCTGCTGGCTCACGGCTTCCTCATAGCCAGGCGGCTCCTTCTTCAGCAGCAAAGCAGGGGTCCCAAAGAGGGGCTGTGATGGCTGCTCTAGGTCCATCTGGGCGGGTGGGCCAGGGGCTGGAGAACCAGGCTGGGATGAGGGCTGGATGGGAGAATGGGGAGAGAACCGGTGGTTGGGATGAGGGAAGCAGGCCTGGGGCCCAGCACATTCCAGGAAGGAAAGGGGGGAGGCACCCAGCTTTTGGGCCAGGACCACCTGCTGCGGCACTGGCTTTTAGGAAGCTTCCATAGAAGCCACTGAGGAAGAAGGGATCCGGGCTGGGGGAGGCCCTGCCGACCGCTGACGCTGTAGAGGGCAGAGCCGGCATGGGGCGACTGGCTGCCTAGGTTTGGTACAAGCCACATGGGACAGGGAGGGGCTCTGGGTCCACTGTCCCCTCTCCTCCCTTCCTGCTCGAGGCTGCTCAAGGGCCATGGTCTCCCATCCTGAGGTGCCCAGTTCCCGTCATAGTCCACTGTCCCCTCCTCCAGCCCTGAGCTCTGCCGGGCTGAGAGGCCACACGAAGCCTAAGGTAGCCTCACCTCTGGCCCAGGCTGGGCAGAGGGGCTGGGCTGTGACGGTGGCAGCAGCAGGGAGCCAACTGCCAATGATGGCTGGGTTGGGGACAGCTGGCCTCTCCCTGCCCCATGGCCCACCCCCACGGCGCGAAGGCAGGCCTGGGCGGCGGCTGCCCCGGGGCCCTCTGCCCGGGCACAGAGATGGGCAGACCCCGATGGCTCTACCTCATGACCTCGGGGCCTCTGGTGGCTCCCTCCATCCTCCCGACTCTTACCACGTCCCCTGGTCGCACGGGGATGGCGAGCCCTCACTCCGGAGGACTGAGTGGTAGGGGACAGGAAGCGAGCATAACCTGCCCAGCCATGGGGCTGCCCGGTCGACAGGGCTATCACCCTCAGCGTCCTCACACTCCCCTGTGGCCGCTGTCCTCCCACACCCAGGTACCTGCTGGGGGCTCTCGCTGGCCAGGCCGGAGCTGTCCGCGTTCTTATTGGTCACGGTGAGGACAAGGTGGGTCCCTGCGGAGTCAGTGATGAGGGTGGGAGGCGGGACCCCCTTGATGAGGCCGGGGCCCTGGGGGCCCAGAAGCAGCTGCGGAGCGGGGGCTGGCTCGGGCTCCGGGGCCGTGGCTTCCTGCTTCACTACCACGGCTGGGGGCGCCGGGGGACAAGTGTCTGCGTGGTGGGCAGTGGGGGCCGCCAGGCTGGGGCTGAAGGGGTGAACGGGCCCCGGGGGCTGCCGGCTCAGCTGGCAGCTGGAGAAACTGTTCTCCTGCTTGACGGGGGCGCCCGGTGGGCTGGGGGCCGGGGCCGGCTGCTGGGCCCGCTTCTCCTGCTCCAGCTGCAGCCGCAGCCACTCCACGAGCTGCTGCTTCTGGCGCAGCATGCGCGTCAGCTCCTCGATCTGCTTGTCCTTCTCCTGCAGCATCTGGTCCTTGTCCCGGCCCTCAAGCTCGGCCCGCGCCCCAGGGCTCAGGCAGCAGGAGCCGGCCCGGGGGCTCTCCTCCTTCACGAGGATCTGCAGCGGCGAGGCCTGCAGGGTGAGCTGGGTCAGCGGTGAGGTCACCATCTCGCCGAAGGCATCCCCAGGCGTGGAGTTCTCGTCGCCCGTGCTGAGCAGGGAGCGCTCCGAGGGGGTGGGAGACACGGGGGGCGTGGAGCCCGTGCTGCCGAACTTCACCACGCCGTTGCCGGTCACCGTGGCCACCACCACCTCGGCTGGGGCCAGGCCTGCGGCCACCAGGGCAGGCCCTGTGCTTAGCCGGGCAGCCGGGAAGGCGACCACCACCTCCCCAGCCTTGGGCAGGATGGAGGGGGCGGCAGGGCCCTTGGGGGCTCCTGGGGCAGGGCCGACTTGCTCCTGGTATGCGCGCAGACGCTCGATCAGGTCCGTCTTGGTGCCTGAGACGGGCAGTGACCGCAGCTTTAGCTCCTGCTTCAGCTCTGCCACCTGCAAGGGGCGAGAGTCAGGGGGGCAGGGTGACGGGGACAACTGGGTCTAGGCAGGAGGGCAGCCCCGGGGGGTGGGACGTGTGCACCCTGAGCCCGGCCTCCTCCCTCTCCCCGTCCTCACCATATGAGGGGCCTGCCTGGAATGTCTCCCCCCTCCCCCACCCCGTTCCGGGCATGACATAGCCTCAGCTGTCCCCAGCCCCAGCACAACAACTGGTGCTCGAGTACTTAAATACTTAATTGAGTCAACCGGATTTTATAGATGAGAAACCCAAGCTCGCAAAAGTCAAAGAACTTCAGGACCCCTGCTAGCGAGCAGCAGAGCTGGACGTTAACCCTGGTCTGATGGGCTCTGAAGCCGTACCCGGCCACCAGCACAGGGCCTGTGCCTTGCTGGGGTCGGATCCTGACCCAGGGGGGTCGGTCTGCTCCGGAGCACAAACTCTCCAGGGAGAACTTGCTCTTTCCCACCTTCTGATTGGGGCAGAAAACAGGCCAAGCACGGGACATGACCCACCCTCCAAGGCCGCAGGACATGAACAGGGTCTGTGCAAGAATGGGCCATTCTTTTCCCAAGGAGATGCAGCTGATTCAGTGGGCGTTAGTGGACGAAGTGGAAAAGATTGGGGAGCCGAAGCGGACAGCCCCAAGTGTGACTCCTGACCACCACCAGCCAAGCTCTGGGACCTCAACACTCCGCCTGCTCGCGCTTCAGTAGGGGCGACACTCCGTGTCTCATGCTGCACAGCAGAGACCAAGGAAGACAAACCATACAGACGAGGTCGGTGGGCCCCAAGGCCCGAGGCGCTGGCTGCGCGGTTGACGGTACCGACCACCACGACAAGGCAGGCGTCGTGGAGGACCAGGGCCAGGCAAGCCACGGGGCAGGCTCCAGCGGCCTCTGCTGGAGGAGACCAGTGTCCGGAGCTCGGCTCTGCCTTCCATGGCCCTGGGCCTGGCGCCGGGCGCTCTCCCTACGGACGAACACTAGGCCGGGCCCCGTGGAGATGAGGCTGCCGGCGGCCCCCGCGGGAAGGGGGCGCCCACCTACCTTCATGTCGTCCAGGTTGGCGGGCAGGGCTCCCGGCTTGCCGCTCAGCGAGGTGCTGTTCTGCCGCGCCAGCCCGCTGGGCCCCGGAGCGCCCGAGCTGGAGCCGCTACTGGGAGCGGAGAGGCTGCGTATTGGGGGGGCCCCGGCGCTTCCAGGGGCCTCGCCGGCCGGCCTGCAAAGAGAAGGCAGGCGTGAGCCCCGGCCGGCAGCACCCTCGGGGAAGAGAGGGGAGCGGGGCGGGCGGATTCAGACCAAAGGGACCTTAAAGGCCTGGGGTTCACCAGCCCAGGCCTGGCACCGGCCGCTCAGGGTGCCTCCGGGCGGGCGGGCGGGGGGCGCGTACTTGGGCGGCGCGGGCAGGATGGTCTGGTAGTTGTAGTGCTGCTGCTGCTGCTGGTTGAGGATCTGCAGCTGCAGGAAGAGCTGCTGCTGCTGCAGGATCCGTGCGTAGGAGGAGTCCATGGGGGGCGCCCCCTTGTCCTGCTTCTGGTCCGGGGGGATGTACTGGTGGTACTTGAGCTTCTTCACCTTTGGCTTCAGCTCCTTGGCTTTCTTGCTGCGCTGCGACTTCTCGCTGGCAGACTTGGGTTGGCTTTGCTGGGGACACAGGAGACGGAGGGGGGCGCCGTCAGGGGGCCGTGAGGGGCTTCCCAGAAGGCCCCTGACCTCCGCCCCGCCCGGTGCCGCTCGCCGCTCCCGGGCGGCTCCTCTGGCAGCAGCGGCCTCATCAGCACCCACGGGCTTGCCAGGGGCAGGGGTGCGCGGCTGACGCGGGGGCGCGCTGTGTGCAACCCCACTGACTTAAAAGAGCCTCCAGCCCGGAGAGAAAAATTGAGCAAACGCCAACGTCACCATGGCCTGGAGCAAAGCGTGGACGGGACGAGGCAGCAGCAGCCGGCTGGCGGGGTCCTGCCGTCCGCAGCGGCAGCTCAGGGTGACGGGCGCTGGGGGCGCTGCGCCGCAGAGCACGAGGCGTTACCCAGAACAGAGGAAGGGTCCACGATCTGTTCACACCAGTCTCTCAAACACACAGTGCTCAAAGAAGGGCACCAGTTGTGTGACAAGGAGCAGAGTTGAGGAAGGATTTAGGGGGGAAACACTCGGTGGCCAGCCACGAACACACCACAGAGGCCGAGAGGGGCCGTGATGAAGGACGGCCTGGGCACTGGGACCCCAGCGCAGCTCACTGCCTCCTCTGGGACGGGGAAGCCACAAAACCTGAAGTTTCCTGCCAGCAGCAGGGCGTCAGGGTCTCGCAGAGATGGTGCAAACAGGGAAGGCCTGGGGGTGGGGGTGCCGCCCAGAGGGGCACCAGGGAGCCCCACACACACAGAGGCAGCAGCCGGAGGCACCGGGAGGGCTTGGCTTCAGCAAGGGAAGGGGAACCAGGACAGCTCCCAGGCTGCGAGCAGCCACAGAAGAGGTGCACGGCTGGCCGGAGACCCCCACCCGGACCAGGGTCTGTGTCGGCAGCTAAGTCCCAGAGACCTGGAGGCAGGTGGCCGGGAGCGGGGGGCCCGGGCACTGGGCCTTGGTGCTGCTGCACTTAATTCACCTCAGTGCCCGACACAGTGTCCCCCACACGAAGGTGGGCCTCACACGGGCTGGTGGTGAGCCTTGCCCCTCAGACATGTTCTGTTAGGCCCTGGAGGAGAATAAAAAATGCCCAAGAGCAGCTGGCTGGCTCAGTCTGATCTTGGAGTTCAAAGTTCAAGCTCCACGTTGGGTGCAGAGATTACCCAAAATAAAATCTTTCAAAAAATAAAATGCCCAAAGTGGCCCTCTTGTGACCTCAGGCCCATCATTTCCCTTCTCGGTTGCGTCCCTCACAGAGCAGACTACGACTGCCTCCCGGTGTCAGTGCACCAGAGGTGGTGTACGGGGTGGGGGGGTTCACGGGGGACGGTGGAGTAAGAGCCAGGAGGACCCATCCAGATCCAGACCCGCTGCACTCAGTAAGCAGTGGCTGTGTGACAGCCACAGAGAGAGAAGAAACTCCCACATTACCTCAGTGACCTTCGCCAGTCCCCGACCCGGGGGGACATATGCACCCCACTCCCTGCAGTTGTCCCCTGCACTGGGACAAAGTCACAGCAGGGCCTGGAAGGGCCCCGAAAGGGGAAGGAGGGCAGCGGCTGGAGACCTGTACCTTAATGAGCGTCGGGGTGGGCTTGGCCGCTGGGGCTGTGGTTCCGTTGGTGAGGCTGGGAGGCAGAGGTGGCTGCTCTGCTAGGAAAAGTGTTTCTCCGGATTCCGGGCCCAATGGGAGTTGAGACACAACCTGACAGAGGAGGAGGTGGCGTGGCCCCATCAGGCAGAATGGGACTGCAGGCATCTCCCTGAGCACCAGCAATGCTGGCAGGTGGGTCGGGGGGAGCAGGTGGTGCAAATGGTGGGCAAAGACGAGGAGAGGTGAGAGGAGCAGTCCGGGGAGGGGGGCAGGGCAGAGGGAACTGGAACACAGAGACACAGAGGGCAGGGAACAGGTCACTGAACTGTACGAAGGAGAAGCGGGCAGGTCTGGGTGGTCCAGGGACAGGCCAGGGAGCCTCAGGGATCTCACTGGGAGGCAGCCCCAGGCAGGCGGGCTGACTAAGGCAGCCGAAACAGGGCCCACTGCCAACATCTCCGGGACCCAAGCAGCCAAGGCAACACCCCGGCTTCCCCGTCCCACCTGGCCCAGGTGAGACCTCACTCTGGGCAGCTCCAGCAAGTCTGGGGCCCTAGGGGAGCATGGAAAGCATCAGAGGGGCGAGCTCACCTGAGTAGGGGATACAGAGGTGGCACTGGGCAGTGGCTCGCTGGCTCGGGCTTCCAAGGGCGATGGCACGGAGCCCTGGGATTCATGGCTGGCAGGCTGCTCAGGGGATAAGGCGTCACTGCTGTCCTCGTCGAAAGAAGAGCTGTCCGCTACTTTCGGGTAATTCACCTGGCCCACTGAAAGCCAAAGCCGGCGTAAGACTCTTCCCCCAGCCAGGCCTGTCCCAGCAAGGTGCCTGCCCTGTCCCCTCCACCCCCCACCTCCACTCCAGTGAGGCAGACAGGAGAAACCCCAGCAGATGACCTGCTTGCTGGGTCCAAAAGAGCTCCAGGAAAGCTCCTCACGACCCGGAAACACAGGCAGGAGAGCGCTAGCCACCATGCTGTCCAAGTGCCGCCTCGTCTTTGACTCTACACTGTGTCCAATCCTCAGAGTCAAGTTCCACGCTCCCTCCCTGTAGCCTGTAACCTCCACCATCTCATCTAGATGTTTCCCTGCTGTTAAAGGCACTTCATGTCCATCCTGTGGTGGCACAAACTCTCCTCTTCCCTCAGAGGCTCATGGACCCTGCAGCAAAGGCTCAAAGGGACCAACAGCCCAAGAGCCCGGCTCCTCCCGCAGGCTGCCTCAACCCCCTGAAAGGCAGGGACAGGCTAAGGGCCTCCAGGAAAAGGTACGCCTCCCCAGATAGGTGGACCAGGGTTACTGAACGAGTGGTGACTTCCTTTTAGTGGCCTGTGACTCCTGGATATCGAAGGCCCGGCAGCAGCAGCCACCAGAAGGAAACCCATCCCGCTGGCTCCAAGTGCCCTGCCCTGCTGCACGGCCGGTCCTAGCTGGGGCCAGGCCGGGAGGGAGGAGCAGGACGGCCAGGGCCCTAGTGTGGACATCCCAGGACACAAAAGGAAGGAAAGACAAGTAGGATATTTCAAAACATTACATCACAACCACCCGCACGGCACTGCTGGGGAAAGAAGTTCTGCCTGGGGCCTGCTGTTAGCACGGGAGGAGTGGAGGCGGGGGTCAAGGCCAAGGGTAGCTGTCGGATGTGCCTGGGGAAATCCACAGCAGTGAGAAGACCGCCGATAGGGAACAAGAACAAACCAGGAACTCTCCCAGCAGACTCTTCCTCTCCAGAGCCATGACCCGAGGCTCTTCCCTCCCCTGGGACCAGGGAAGGACATATCTGGGCTCGAACCTGCACTAGCCTGCCGTGGCAAGGGCGCCAGTCACACCCACTGCCAGGGCTGGCTCCGGTCCTCCAGCAGGGCTGGCTCCTACACTCCCTCTCCTCCGTCCTGTCAGGGGCTGCGCATGCAGCGTGTGAGGGGAATGGAGCGCCATTACCGCCATGTACCCCAGGCCACTGACACATCTGGGTTTCTCCCAGCATCTCTTCCTCCCAGCAAGGAGATGTGCCACGGGACGGCAGCCACACGGCTCCCAGCAGGGGGTGGTGGAATCTGGGACGGCGGGGCTCTTCCTCGGGCTCCTCCCCAGAGCGCAGTCCAACCGGAGCCAGCGGCCGGCCAGTGGCCCAGCAGGGTCCATTTCCCTCCCTACTATGACCGGCTTCGGGCCAGGGGCAGGCCGGGGAAAGACCGGGTCCTTGCCCTCTGATTTTGGCCCAGTGCCCTCTGCTCAAGGGAAACAGACTCTGTGGAGATGCTCAGGGAAGACTTTTTGGAGAAGGGGCCTTGATGCAAATCTCCGCATCAGCCGGGGTGGCCTGGAGGCGCGGGCGCCAGCGTGCTGTGGGCAGCTGTGGGGACCGAGCGGGTAAGCCAGCGGGAGGTCGGCCTCTGCAAAGCCCCCGTCATGCCCCCATCTTTATCAGGGCTTAGGACCGCCTCGGCCCCCTCGCCCTTCTCCTCCTCCTCAGACCTGGCCGAGTCTCTCCCCTCCCAGGACCTATCTCCTCCTCTGACTCCTTTCTCTCAGCCACAAACCTGTATTTCTCCTGGCCTGAAACTCCTTCGCAGACCACCATCTCCCTCGTTCTTCCTTCTCCACTCACTTCTTGAACAGCCCGCATCTGCTGTCACCACCTACTCGCTCCCCAACCCGCAGGACCTGGCTTTGGCAGGCAAACGCTCCTTTCCCTCAGGTCACTAAGGGTTAAGAGCTGCTTACTGAACTAGCTTACCTCCCCCTCCTCAAACAAGCCATGCTCTGCTGCACCTCCAGGCCACTGCCCACACAGTCCCCTCTGCCTGGAATGCCCTCTGTACCTTCCCCCTTGGGCAAGGTGGACCTCACATGTGTCATACCATCTGCACTACTTCTCTGGGCCTTCCCACCATACCCATCTCTGAGAGAAGCCTGTGCGGGCCAGGCTCGCACTGTACCTGACCCACCATTACCCCCACGCCGTCACCACAGCGCCCGTCCCCTGGTCTGTAACGAATGAGACTGCTGACGGCAGCAGCCCTTCTGTAAGTCTGAGACGCCCAGGACTGCCGGGCCCTTTATATCCATCATAGCCCGTGGGCCGGCAGCCTGTCCCGCAAGCCAGGTCACTCAGCTACTATGTCACAGGACCGTGGCCTTCCCATTACACAGCACTGGCATCGGACCAGGAGCCAGGCTCGGAAATCGCAAGTCCCTACGTCAGTCTTCCTGCAGCAGACTGAATTCCTGCAGGGCAGCGTCATACCACGTTCATCTTCGTAAACTGCGTGACTTCACACGGGGCCTGGCGCCATGCCGACCCTCACAGTCTGGGTGGCTGGAGAGTCCAGAACTGACTTTGGCCCAAACGCAGGCCCGACATTAGGGGCTGCTATGGAATTCAGTGAGGACCAGGGCAGGAGAACACGGAGACGTGGTGGGATGAATGCCAGGGCGAAGCCGGGAGCTAAGAGGGCTATGGGCCCCAACTGGCAGAGCGGCTGTCAGGGCACACTGGCTGCCTCCCACAGCGCAGAGGCCCTAGAAACCAAAGCCCCCTCTGACCCTGAGCTCACGGCCCAACTTGGCCTGCTCTGGGGTCTGTGGTTCCCCCCTGGTGCTCTGCCCAGAAGATCTAACTCCTTACACTGGAGGGAGCAGGTGAGCCTCATGGTGACCTCCCAGGGGCAGGAATGCACAGCCTTGCCCAGGACCAGGTCTTAGGCCCGCTGGGGCCAAGAAGACATGCTTGTACTAACAATGACCAAAGTCTAAAGGAATCAGGTCCGAACACCTACCTGTGGCACACAAGGCCCTGGCACGTCCTGGACTCTGCCCACCTCCCACCTCCTTCCAGCTCCGTGCCCAGGCTGCTCCTCGTCCTGAGAGGCTCCCCGTCCCTGGAGCCCATAGTGGACTTGAATTCCAACTCATCCCGCAGCCCCAGTCTCGGCCGTCATCACTCCCGAACCACCCCCCTGGCAGGGCCGGGATGGGGACCCTCCTCTGTGTGCCCAGAGCAGTCGGGGATCCATCTGGCACAGCTGTTGCCCCTGGCATGGTCCTTGAGGCCGCTGGGACTGTCCTAAGCTAACCTAACCCGCTTCTCAGGCTCTCACACTGTGCGCCTCAGTTCCCCAAGTTGAAGCAGGAGGTCAAGCAGCAAGAAGCCCAGAGCCTCTTCCTCCTGCCTCCGGCCCGCACATCCACTCAGGGTGCCTGGGGCCTCCTCACCAATGATGGCTTCTTTCAAGCTGGACTCCACAGGCAGAATGTTCTTCTCAACCAGCTCCATGGGGCCCGGCCTCTGTGCAATCTTCTCGTTGAGGTCGTCAGCCAGTCTGGCTCTCTTTAGCTTTAACTGCTTGGCCTGGAGGGAAGGCTCAGCCGAGGTCTCTGCCCGTGGGAGAGAATGGAGTGCAGGAGGATGTAGGAATGGACCTGGCTCTACCCTGGGAATTCCAGAGCAGCTCTCCTTCCCTCTGGGGAAGGAGCAGAAGCCATCAGGATGCAGAGAGTGTCCCAGGCAGAGAAGAGCGGCCCAGCCTTAAGTTCTATAGGACACAGAAGGGGCCCTGACTGCAGACAGAGCGTGGGCACAGCCAGTCAAGGTCACTGGGCACGGGGGCTACAGAGCCGAAAGCACAGCAGATGAAGGAGCCCTCCTCGCCCTCCCTCAAGCCTTCTGGTTACGAAGGCAATTCAGTCCCTGCTCTGGGTCTCAGCGTCTCTGTCTACACGATGCGGGGCTCAGACTAAGGAAGTTCTCCAGACTCAAAGCTGACTCAAAACTAAAAACAACAAAATGGATACGTTCACACTGCTTTCAGCAGCCAAAACAGTTCCTTCACTAGAATGTGGACAGAAGTATGTGCCGGGCCAGGCGGACACACCCAGGATGCACACACTCGGGTGTCGCAGGTGCTCACGTGAATGCCGAATGGATGTGGGAGTGAGGGAGTGAATGAACACAGAAAGGAACCGCGTTTTCAGAAGATTCTGGAGAAAAGGCTTTCATACCAAGGGATGACAAGATCCAGGGCCACCACGTGGCCAAGAGTTGAGAAAGGGCAAGGCAACCCAGAGAATGTGTCTGTGCTGCTCCGGGAATTTGCAGAACCAGCACGGCAACACGGCTCTGCTGTTCTACGGTGTAAAAGGCCTGGCTTTTGCACTGTGCACAGAAATGGGAGCGATAAGGAAGAGGGACAAAGAAATGTGGGGGATGCACGGTGGAAGCAGCAAGGGCACGGGGAGAAAGCATTTCCAACCTCACACACCTTCCAAAATATGCATCCTGACCAGCTCCGATCTCTCCGGCCGGGAACGAATCTTCCGTTTCAGATAGTCCTCTGTCTACAGAAAAAACACACCAAGAGGATCTCAAATCCAGGATACAAGTTATGACATGGATCCTCTGTGGGCTCCCCCCGCCACCCCATCTTAGCCTGGAGCCGCCAGGGTTCTGAGGCAAGGGGAGGTCTGGGGGCACTGCATCTACTTCCAGTGCACCTGCCTACCCACGCCCTCCCATCAAGACTATTCGTTTCTCTGAGGCTGAATTACTACAGTGTTTCTTAAAAATCTACTACTTGTAATATCATAAAAGTAATATATGTTCATTAAAGAAAATGTAGAAAACTACACAGTAAAACAAAAATAAAAAATTCAATCACTCACTGTATTTTGGGATATTTATTTCTAATCATTCTTCCATGCAGATGTCTCATTTTGCAGAGTTGTAATCACAGTGAACATAATTTTGTATCTTGTTCAAAAACTGTAACATATGATCTCATGAGCATTTTCCATTCATTTTGAATGGCTACCCAACAGAATACTAATTCTGATACACGGTGTCATAGGTGTAGTTCCTCCAAGTCCAATGCCCTCATTTCTGCATTTCTGAGACGCCAGGCAAACTGAAGCGTCCCCTGACCAGTCTCGGCGCCAGCCCACTGCTCTAACACCCGGGCGGCCCCAAGTCTGTCTGACTCCAGAGTCTGTGGCTCTTAACTACAGCACCAGAATTTTTCAAACCATAGGTCAAGACCATGAGTCGGTCAAAGCCAGCATAGAACAGGACAGGACAAGACAGGACAGAACGAGGAAGACTAGTGTTGAGCAGAAAATAACAAGCCAGAGCGCACTGCCTGTGGGAACGGTAAAGCCCCAGCGCTCGCCTGCTGCCTTGGAGCCCTGACCGGGCAGCGTGGAGCCCTGCAGGGGACAGCTCGGCGTCTGTCACTCTGCCCCACCTGCAGAGGGCACTGGGACTGCCACGGTGGCTGCAGAAGATGGTAGAACAGGAGTCCAACACCACAGGTCTTCACAGGCATCAGAGGGAGCCGTGTTTTCTAAGCCACCCGAGATTCTGAACTGTGGGCGAGCTAGAATGCAGCACTAATTAAGAAAATACCTGAAGTCCACAGACCAAGCTTTGAGTCTCAGCTTTGCCACTTACTAGCTGGACAACTGAGTTAACCTCTCCCAGGTGCAGCTACGAAATGAAGAGAAGAGCACCTAACCCCTAAGAGCCCAAGTGAGAACCAGGAGAATGACATCACTTGGCACGTGGAAGTAATCGGTAAGTAACAGCGGTTCGACCGAGCTTGTTAGCTCCTTGCCGATTCGAGAAGCAGGCCAGGTAATGGCACCAAGTCTTACAGCTGGGTCTGGGGTCCAGACGAGGTCCCCCGCCCCGTATTCTCCACTCCTCCCAGTAATTACACCAGTGCAGCTTGTTACTGCTTTGGTTCCTGGTGTACGACCTCATTCTTCCCACTCACTCTAGGAATTAATCATAATTTTCCTTAGAAATCTTAAAGAAATAAAATAAAGACAGAAAAATGTCTCAGAAATAAGTATTTCAGTCTCTGCAAGAGCTGTGGGTCTTAGGGAGCCTGACCTGTATGGTCCTCTACTAGGGAGGTTCTCTTTCCTTGTCTTTTACGTAAAAGAAAAAAGTGAAGGGGGTGGAGGGGAAGCATGTCTGGCGACTTCCCCATCTCTGCCCACACTGGGCAGCAGAATATCCCCCTGAGGCCCTTGAGGGAACTGAAACCAAGGGGGGACAAGGCAGCAGGCCAGGTGCTGTAGCAGGAACCGGGGCTCAAACTGGGGGCCCAGCTTCTGCATTCACTGCCTCCAGTGGACACTGGCTAATCAGGGCACATGGAGACTGGTGAGGTTTCCTGCCCCTTGGAATGCCCTTCCTAGAGAGGCATGGGCACGGCAGCCAAGGACGTGGAAGACCAGTCCTCAGCGGGCTTTCCCGTGGCTGGTGTTCGCACCCCGACATCTATAAAAGGGCAGGTGGGATGAAAGATGGGAACAGACCAGCGGTCTCCAAAGGAACAGAAGGGAGGACTACTGATACACCCTTAAATGCAGAAAAGGAGAAATCCTGATCCCATATCACTCCATGCTGTGAGACGGCCGGGGTGGGGACGGAACAGAAAAAGGCAACGCTTTGTGTCTGGAACTGAGGTGTGGACTGGCTGGAAGGAATACACCAGCCATGCCTGCATTGGGCTCTGCAGGCCCTCGGGGAATAAAGGCCTTACCCTGGCCCTCTCCAAGCTCCTTCTCTGTTCATGAAACGCAGCTGGACTTTTCAAAGCTGTTGGGAAAAGAATCATAAAACAATTACTTTTATGAAGCATCATGTGTACAGCTACAATTTACACTGGAGAAAGCATCTTAATTTAAGTTAACTTTAGCAGAAGATGAAGATCTTATCAGCGGAAGTGAAGAAGAACATGGCACCTGAGTAAGCACGTATCTTTCACGGTTCAGCTACCCGCATTACAACCGTTTTGGTTAGTTCATTCCTAATGAGAACAGTCACTGCCTACGCTCAGGCTCTATAAAGTGCACAAATGGAATGCAATGTAAAAAATATCCTGGACCCAATACTTGACCATTAGCTGCACAATCCTTATTGACCAGTCAACCCTCCAAGAATGTGTGCTGGGCCCCAGCTCACTCTGGTAAAGACAGGGACACAGACAGGACCACGGCTGTATGTTGGGTTCATCTTACTTTTTCGACCTAATTCAGAATCACAAAGTGACCAAACTTCCACCAGAAAGACCTACGTCTGCTTGGATGCCATTTCCTTCTTCACTTCAGCTAATATAACAGTGCCGCTAAAATCACCTTGAATCTCATCTCTGAGGGCTCAAAGAACTTCACAGTAAGTGTATGGTTGACCCCGGTGCACACAACCAGCAGCTGACAGGAAGGGCTCCCTACAGACCCTGAAGCCTACCGCTACACAGACCACAGCTCTCGAGGCAGCAAACCAGACCAAACCAGGACCAAATCTCAAATGCGGCACAATGCGGCACAATGAAGAGTTTTGTATCAAACACTTGGCTATAAAGACAAAGGATGAACTGGGACACCATGAGGGTGAGAGGGGTAAAAGGCCTGACTCACTTCAAGTAGGGAACCAGAGCAATAAGAGAGAAATTTACAAGACAGTGGTCAGTTTCACTTCTGCTGCCCTAGAATTTCAGAACAGCTATGAAACTGTGTGTGGAGGTAACTTTTGATAGGCTGCTGGCTGTGGTAGGAGCACAGGGGAGAAGCTAAAAGTAGCAAAAGCACAGATATGACCCTATCCTGCTTCCTCCCCCCATCCACTCCTGGGGGCTGGGCCTCAGCAACAACAGTCCCAGCAGATCTAAATGTCCCAGCACTCCTTATTTAACAAACATTTCTGAACTCTTAGGATGAAAAAGAATCATTTTAAAAGTCAGTTGCAAGCCCTCCCTGTCTTCTACCGGCAGGGGGAGCTCTAGATTTAACAAAAAGTCTCTAAGAAAAACCAGCACGGCCAGCCTCCCTCCCCACCTACCACAGCATTCCAAGGCATTAGCCAGGCTATCTCTGCCCTAAGCTGGGGAGGTCTTGGGCAATTCAGTGGGTAAGCAGACAGCTCCTGCACCTGCTTCTACTGGGTAAAGCTGGTTCACCTCTTAAAACCAGTCTCCAAAAGTCCTGACATGCCAGAACCTGGGGATAGGGTGTGACAGACCACTCTCACGGAGCAGACAGTAAATACAAAGAATCAAAGTGAAAACTCAGTGCCTGCCCCATCCCACCCCCAGCTTCCTTTCCGCCTTATTCCCCTGCACCGCACTCATCACTACGGACACTCTTGAACTGGTTGATTGTCAGCCTCCCATTAGGACACACTCCATCAGGGCATGACTCTTTCCTTTGTTTCTGACAGAATCCCTGGTGCCTACGGTGCCCAGCAAATTCATTCCATGAACTAAAGAATATTCTGTAAGAAATGGTACAAGGTATACACTAGTGACAGCAAAGCAAGAAGGTTCTGTGGTAGAGCTCTAAACCTTCTAAACTTTGACGTGAATGGCCAGAATTTGGGCTCTCATCTGGGTTCAAAACTTCACAGAAGTCCCAGATAGAAAAATCAAGGCAACTGTGATGTCTTCCTGGGTTCTACCAATCATTACTAGGGTGACACAGGGGACTGCATTCTGGGTCTCATTTTCTTTTGTAGAGTGAGAATCTGCCTGCCTCTCAGGACTCTTGTAAGAGCTGGATGGAAGCAGAGTGCTCGGAAGCAAGTGGAGCACACACAGATGAACGAGAAGTGCTCTGTCACCAGATGCAGCGGCGTAGCTGAATCACAGGTTCAATTCCCACACACGCCTGCTAGTGTTGGTACCACAGCAACACACCTATCTAAAACCCTGGTTAGTGCAGCCACACACCTATCTAAAACCCCGGTTAGTGTGCTGCCTCAACAACCTACCCTGGCTATCCCAAGAGGTAAGGCACAAATCCAATTTCTGGAAGAACAACTCACAACGCATAGAATTTCTAGATGGAAGGGGAGTTCATCAAGGATGATATAGCACGAAGAGGGATAAGAGGCAGGAGAACTGGCTGTTGCATATATGACTTCCTGTTTGGTAAGGGAATTTTCATGTAACAGCAAAGGAGAAATGAGTATTTACAGAGTGCTTACTTATGTGGTCGGCCTGTTCCAGATAGTTTAAACATATTATCTGATTTAATATTCCTAATGATCCCATGTGGTAGGTAATACTCCACTTTCTAGATAAGGGTACGCTCAAGAGGATAGAAAAGGCCAGCAGGTGGCAGAGTTAGGATGACAACCTCACTCTACCACACCCTCTAGTAGACTTCTTCCCACTCCTCTGGGTGGATTTCCTAACTTCACAAAGTAGAGGAGGACGACTCTGTTGGATGGGGAGGCAAGGAGGCTTCAATTACGTGGACTGCCTGAGCAGAGGGCTGAGTACAGGCAATTGGAAAGGTCAGCTTGACCACAGCACTGAGCACAACAGGTGTGAAGAGGGGTTCAAAGCGACCGCAGGCACGGAAAGCCACGGTCTGAAGCCTGGGGCTCACCGTGGAGCTTCGGGGCAGCCTTCAGCACTGATACTAGGAAACAAGTGGGAGGGGTAAGGAGAGACCAGAGGAATTTATCAGCTGCTCAGGGCCTGATCAAGAAAACCAGAAATCAGGACAAGAAAAGAATTCAAGACAGTCATTACCAATCCCACAAGACTATTTCACTTTTTAACATTATCAGCACACTGAATCCTCTTACCAACCCACGAGGATAGGACCCTTCTTATTTTATGTGATGGAGCTAACAGCACAGTCACCTGCGCGGTCACTCACTGAGTGGTGGGCCCCAGCCCAGCTCTAGTTCTGTCCACCTTCTCTTCTCTGGTCTCAACCTTCTGACACGTGTGCTGGTTCGTCCCAGTCTGTGAGCAGCCCATACTCGCTCTGTGCTACTCTTTCCCCATTGTTAACTCTGCTCTCTGAGAACAGGTTCGGCAACTTCCAGAGCTATTTCCAACAGAAGAAGGGAGTTATTCCTCCTCCAGGTTGCTGTCAGGATTCCTGTAGGATGCTCCTTGGGCTCCCGTGGGGAGAGACTAGAGTTGGGGCAGCCAAGACACAGGGCTGTAAAGGTAAGCCCTGGACTTCCTGGGAGGAGTGAGTGGCCGTGTGTAGTCAAAATCACCTGGGGCTTCACAAGCCAAGTGCAACAAAGCAGAAAATAGTTTTTAAAGTTTAGGCCTCTGCTTGTGGAAAAACCCTAGAAGACTCAAAGTTAACCCATAAATGTGTGTCCAATGAGGAGGGCTACATTTGCCTTGGACCTCCATCTCCCTCCTCCTTGCTGTCTTAACAGCTTTGCCGCAAGAGCCAGGACGTTACTCAGAAATTTCATTTCCCCAGAAACTCCTAGAAGGCAGTCTTTAAGAGAAGCCCCCAAAACCGATGCATACCCAAGAACTATGCATGTGGCTTGTGACATGTTTGGGGTGGGAGGGCACTTCTTGACCCTTTACTCCCACTGTCTGGAAGCCGGTTCCACTGGGACCCTTTACTGCTTTGTGTGCACAAAGGGAAGTGTGCAGCAGTACTGAAAGGAAAAATAACCAAGCTCCTCACGGAAATCAAATGAACAGAAGTGGCTAAGAGGTGTGACGTTCTTAATCACAGTTTCAGTTCTAGATGTGGGTCTCACCCCTGGCTGGCTAGAACACCAATTTATATTCTGTTCCCTCTCTCCAATGCTCATTTTCTTTCTCTCCTTACATGTTTCCTGCCTTAGTTAAATGAGGGCCTTGTGAACTAAAAAAAGAAAAACCATTTAATTTTTCTTTAAAGATTTTATTTACTTGAGAGAGTGAGTGAGACAGAGAGCATGAGAGGGGAGAGGGTCAGAGGGAGAAGCAGACTCCCCACTGAGCAGGGAGCTCAATGCAGGACTCAATCCTGGGATTCCAGGATCATGACCTGGGCCAAAGGCAGCCGCTTAATCAAGTGAGCCACCCAGGCGCCCTAGTTTTAATTTTTTGAAAAATATACTGCCATCAGCTTCCAAGGGGGAGTTCAATGCCATGCTCAGTGTGTCCACTGAACTTTGTGACCTACAGTGCAGGAGCACGGAAATCGAGCAGTTTGGATTTAATCTAGCACTCAGAGAGGGAGTATAAGGACCCTTAAAAACCAACCTATAGCATCAAATTAGGACATTAAACAGCCTGAGATTTACTTAAACATGTAGGCAAATGAAAATCTTCTGGATTCACAAAACAGTTCAGGGAACAGTTCTGTTCTTTCCTCGCATCTCAGCAAAGAAAGACAGCTTAGCCATCAAGACTCATTTCCTCATTATCATTAAGGAGTATTTACTAAGTGCCTGTGTCAGAATGTCGCTTTATTAGGCGCTGGCATAATAAAAATGATGGTTCCCATCCTCAATAAGATACTTTTGCCAGAAGCTCACCACCAAGTCTACACTCACAGGAACTCAAGGAGGCTACGAACACAGTATAGCTAACAGCAGTCAATGCAGTGCCACAGTCTGAGGAGACCTTCCTTCAGGAAAGCCTGCTGGGTTTCTTTTTCCACTGTAGAAGCAGCAGGCAAACACACATTGGATACGAAGTTGGGGGCTTGGGCAGGGGATGGGGTGCAGGAGATAAATGCATTTAATAACCTGGGAAGGAAATTAAAAATATAGTCACTCATCCACCCATCCAGTAAACTATTCTGAAGTATTATGCTCGTCACTGAGAGTAAGGATAAACA